TGATTTTTAGTAATCTTTTCCTGTTAAATAAATAAATCAAATCAACCTAGTAACACGTTACAAATTTAAATATGACCAGAACTCATTATGAAGAGTTGAGTAAATCTAGTTGAGTAACTGTAAAGCAATTTGCTCAATTTCAAATTGGTTCAGTGAAACATGTTTACTTAGCTTTTTTTTCCTTATATCATCCAAGAAAAATCAACACGAGACCAAGAAAAGTACGTTTTGTAATTGTAAATTTTGTAATTTTGATATATTATTTGAACTGAAAAGCTTCCTGGTGTTTGTAGTTATTCAGGTTCAGTGAAGTCTTCCCTTAACAGAGGAGACTGYTTTGATAAAGAGCTCAATGCACTGCCGTTGTAAGTAAGTAAATAAGTAAAAGTTTATTTATATAGTGCCTTTCACAGAAAAGGATTTCACAAGGTGCTGTACATTCACTATCAGAAAGAGAAAGCAAAAATGAAAAGAAAGCAAAAATAACATTAACTGTACAAAGTCTACATTCAATATTTAAAACAAAAACAAAAGGAGTTCAATTTATCTCTCACCCTTATAGGGGGAGGGGATGGATACTAGATCAGAATAACACATGATTTTTAGTCAGGGCTTATAAACTAACGATGTGAGGTGTTGAATATATTCAGTTGAATGTTTGAGTGAAGAGGTGTATTTTTACTTGTTTTTTTAAAGGAGTCAGTGTTTTCAACAGATCTTAGAGAGGGCAGAAGGGTGTTCCACAGTCTGGGAGCCGTTGAGGAAAAGGTACAGTCACCACGGGTCTTGAAGCGAGTACGGGGGACCAAGAGAAGATTCTGGTCTTGTGAGCGCAAGTTGCTTTTGGGGTTATAAGGCAAGAGAAGACCGGATTCGGCTCTTGTCTGTGTAGAGCTCTAAAAGTGAGAACCAGGGTTTTGAACTTGAGTCTGAATTTTACAGGTAGTCAGTGGAGGGCTGATGATACAGGGGTGATGTGAGAGAATTTAGATGTTCTAGTTGGGAGTCCAACAGCAGAGTTTTGAAGAAGATGAAGCCGGTTTATTTGTTTCTGATTTAAGCAGGTGAACAGACTGTTACAGTAGTCAAGACAGGTTGAGATAAAAGCATGGATTACCGTTTCCAGGTCAGAGGCAGGCAGGAGGGGGCAGAGTTTAGAAATAGTAAAATATTGAAAATAGCATGAGGTAACTAGATATTTGACGTGTTTATCTAGTGACAGATCTGAATCAAAACTGACTCCCAGATTTCATATGCTCTTTTTAACAGTCAGCCCCAGAGAGCCTAGTTGTTCTTTTATCTGAGGGATCTTATTTTCCTACACATTCTCACTCCCAAGTCGTCACATATTGACGCTTTTCCAAAGGTTCCCTCTGCGTCGTATTTTGACGCAGAAGGTACCCCCCTCGCGTCAGTCCTTGACGCCKSCGGKTTTTCCGGGTTGCGCCACCAGGGGTCTTTGGGTCGGGGGTCTGAGGTTAACATGAGGGATCAGGATTAATGGTTAAGTTTAGGTACTGGGATCAGGGGTAGGA